ATACTAGTGTTCATAATACCAATGCCACCGTACTTTTAGCACGGAGTCCGATCACGACCCGATCGGCTAGGCTATCTCATTAGAGAATCAACCACAATTACTATCAATACCAATACCACCATTATTTAGTACGGAGTCTGATCACGACCCGATCGGCTAGACTATTTCATTAGAGAATCAACCACAATTTCTGTCAATATCAATACCACCGTAAATTTAGTACGGAGTCCGATCACGACCCGATCGGCTAGGCCATTTCATTAGAGACATCAACCACAATTACTATCATTACCAATTTCCAGCATAATCACCACCATGTGTGCGGCATGGTGTCCGATCACGACCCGATCGGCTAGGCCATTTCATTAGAGACATCAACCACAATTACTATCATTACCAATTTCCAGCATAATCACCACCATGTGTGCGGCATGGTGTCCGATCACGACCCGATCGGCTAGGTCATCTCATTTGAGACATTAACCTTTTTATATCAATCATCGCATTTCATAATACTTTCATATCTTTTCATTTCATTGGCACTAGTGGCCATAATTATAAGATCATTCTTGGCACGTTGGCCATATTCAGTATTTCATGCTCACCTTATCAATTTCAAACATCATTATCATCATCAACAACAAGTACAATTCAAATCAAGGTGTGTAGTACACATGTGAAAAATTTAGAGTTTAAGGCACATAGAGATATTTCACAAAATTTGATATAATAGCCTTCATTTAAACTTGACTTAAAGTCGAAATATTATTAATGCACAACCCATATTTTAACACATTCTGAATTGGTAACATAACATGAATAAAGCATTTGGGATGCTTGTTGAACATATATCTTTCAACCCAATCTTACTCGGAATTGCCAATTTCATAATGAATCACTCGGGACTTACATAATTTACATGAATATCGTGGGATTCAATTCTAAGAGAAGAGTTTAGCCAACATACCTCANGCCAACAAACCTCAATTGAGCTTCCTTAAACTCTAAAACGTTTCGGAATTCTTAGCAACTTCAATCTATTTTAGAAATATAATAAATTGAATCAAAATTAGAAAGATGATCATGGTTCTAGCTCATTTTAGCATTTTATCAAACACTAGGTGTGCACAAGGTTTCAAGGTCTTTTTATGGAGGATTCAATCCCACAACCCAATCTTTACCATGCTTAGTTCAACAATCCTCCTACACCCCTTGATATCACATACATGTAAAATAATCAACTCTCATGCCCAAAAATTATCTTGCTAATTACCCATTTTCAGATGATTTCGAAATTAGGGTTTAGGGTGTAGAATCTTACCTCTAGGATGAAGACCTAGTGAGCTTCCCTTCTTAATCTTCCAAAACTTGAGCAAGAATTGAAGAAAAATTATTGAAGAACACCTTCTCACTCTATGGCACTCTCTCTCACTCTAAAATATCAGATTATGTCTCAAAAATAGCCCAAAGAGTGTATTTAACGAAATAGGGTCGGGTTTTAAAAATCCAAAAATGGAGCTCCGGAACAAGGTATGTGACCGCATAACCGATATGCGGACCGCATATCGATCACATAATTGGTTACAAAATAGCCAAAAGAACTGCCTGTGTATGTGGTCACTATGCAGCCTGCATAGCTATTATGCGGTCGCATAATGCACCACATAACAGTTATGAGGTTGCATAGTCGACCGCATATTTTGCTTCCAACTAACCCAATTAACTGCCTCACTCTGCGGCCATTATGCGGTCCACAGAGTGGTTCTGCGGTCGCATAATGGACCGCAGAAATGCACTTTTCCGCCAAAAATTTTCCTTTACTTTCCGGTGCATTGTTCAACCCAAAAAGTTCGAGTAGCGGCTCGCAAGCTTGCCGGGAAGAATTTCTACAATCCCCAAAACACGTAAGCCTAGTCCGGCACCATGAAACATTATTTTCTTTGCAAACTTTATCGGGCTTTACACTTAAGTACTTCAAAATTTTTCGGGGTGTTACAGTTCTACTATTAGTAGTTAAGGATATGCGTTATTCATTCCTATGAAATGTAATACAAAGCATGTCTAAGTATGTTTCTAAGTATCTATTGAGGCATACGATAAAGATATTAATGTTCATAATGTAGTGTTACATGTATCTTCATTTTACCACTAAGCTACGGCCGGTTGGAAAGTCATGCATCTTCATTTACCACCTTGCTACGGCCGGTTGGGCAGTCATGCATCTTCATTTACCACCTTGCTACGGCCGATTGGGCAGTCATGCATCTTCATTTACTACCGTGCTACGGCCGGTTGGGCAGTCATGCATTTACCACCATGCTACGGCCGATCAGGCAGTCATGAATTTACCACTCTGCTACGGCCGGTCGGGCAGTTACCACCAGTTGGGCAGTTATACATTTACCACCGAGCTACGGCCGGTCGGCAATTACCACTGATCAGTTGGGCAGTCATGTTACGATATGGATAATAGTCTCAAAGAGAAGCATTATATATATAAGTATAATTAGTATGTATATATGGTGGCACCTCAGAGATTCAGGTTGATTCTTATATGTCTTTAATTAATGTTGACTTATTGTTATATTTCAGTTCCGCCTTACATACTCGGTACATTATTCGTACTGACATCCTTTTGTTGTGGACGCTACATTCATGCCTGCAGGTATAGGTAATCAGTTTGACGAGCCCTCATAGTAGACGAGGTTAGCATTCAGCGAAGGATCGGTAAGACTCTACTTCATTCGGAGTGCAACCGAGTCTATAAGTTATCGTGTCAGAGTTTTGCTACAGACTTATAGTTAGGCAGGGACCCTGTCCCATTTGATGTCGAATAATCTTAGAGGCTTTATAGACAGAGGTTCATTTTGTACAGTATGTCAGAGGCCTTGACAGCCCGTATGTATGTTTTAAGAACGATGGTTTATTGATACAATGTTTGCCCACTTATAGTTATACATTACGAGTTGTGGCCATGTTGGCACATGATAGTTGCACAAGAAAAAAGTGAGTTACAGAGTGGTTCGCTCGGGCCAGTATGGCACCGGGTGCCAGCCACGCCTTCGCAGATTTGGGGCGTGATAGGGCGTCAGACCTTCTTCACATTCGCGAAGGTCCTGACGCGATCGCGAAGAGCAGCGGCCAAAATGGTCTTTGTGTTCGCGAGCCTGGGCTCGCGTTTGCGTAGAACAAACCCTAGCCTCCCCCAGAATCCCTTACCCATCGAGTTCGCGAGTGAAGGGCCGCGTTCGCGAAGGGTAATCCCTCTGATGCTTCACGTTCGTGACCTCTTCTTCACGTTCGCGACCTCTTCTCCACGTTCGTGTAGAAGAAAACCTCCCCAGTACCAAGTTACCCTTCGCGATCACGAAGAACAATGCACCAGACATTAGCAACAGTGAAAACCAGTAACCTTCTAAGTCCAAAATCAATCCGTAGCCTATCCAAAACTCACCTGAGCCGTTCGGGCTCCAAATGAACACATGCACACAAGTGTAATAACATCATTCGAACTCGCTCGCACGATCGAAATACCAAAATAACACCTAGAACTACGAATCGGATATCAAAATACATGAAATTTTCAAAGAAACTTAAGAACTTTCAAGTTTACAACCGAGCGTCCGAATCATGTCAAATCAGCTCCGTTTTGAACCAAATTTTGCAGACAAGTCAATAATAGTAAAATGAACCTATACCAAGTCCCAGAACCGAAATCCGAATCCGGTAGCTATAAAGTCAACCTACGGTCAAACTTCGGAATTCTTTAAACCTTCAAATTACTAGTTTTCATCAAATCACGTTAAATCAAGTTAGGGACTTCCGAATTCAATTCCGGGCATACGCCCAAGTCTCAAATCATAATACGGACCCATTGGGGCGGTCAAAATACTGATCTGGCTCCGTTTACACAAAATATTGACCGTAGTCAACTCAAATTATTTTAAGACAAAAATTCACACTTTCTTCAATTTTCATATAAAGACTTTCTGGAACAAGACACAGACTATGCACGCAAATCGAAAAATGCTAAACAGAGCTAATCGAATTTTGGAACTCAAAAATAAAGGCTAAAACTCAAAATAACCTATCACGTTATCATAGTTACAATAAAAGTGATTTTTTTACATTTACCACCAACGAGTTACAACTGATTACTTGACACAATCTTCAATAGCTTTCTTTTTCTCTCTATCTTTTGATACACTAGTAAGCTTTGGAATACCGTGTTTAGTAAGAAGTAGAAAGACTGAAAACTTGGATGAAAGCTGTGTAATCTTCCACGTCCTTTCTCCTCTTCTTTAATAGTGCTCGATGAAGTCCCTGATTCCTTTTTCTGAGATTTTGGAAAATCATTGATAGTGCGACTTTTCTTTTGATGCAGTATTCTCTAAGAGAAGGACCCAAGGGTAGCCTCATGAATCCAACGTGTTAAGTACAACCAAATTCATTCTTGATGTGCTGAGTAGATCCTTTATCTTCCCAATCATTTGCTCTTGAGTCTTTCGCTGATTTCTCGTACTTGATTGATTCCCTTGCCTTCCTTGTATCCTTGAAAGTCTTTTGCCCGTTTGACGATTTCCTTTCCTTTCTTGTATTTCTTTGGTGGACATATTTGAATGTCATAGCCGTTAGCTCTTTGATTGCTTCTCCCCCTCGGGTGCACTTTTCTTCCATAGCTTTGATTAGTTAATCTGCACACATAGTAGATTCACATTAATCCAGTTTTTTTGATTTTAGTCAATCATTAAAATTTTAAACCTAACATACAGCATATACAAATTGAAATACATAAAAAGTGTGATAAGATTTTGTAGCAGGATACACTAGAATACAGGAAACCATAAACTAGAAAATACCAACTTCTCTTGTACTTTGTTTCTTTCAATTTCCCGGTTCAACGTCAGCCACTATCAGATGCTTCCAAAATTGTAGACACTCATATTTTTGCTCCTGACCTTATTAGTTCTAAAAAATGTATAAAGTAGCATGTTCTTCTCCGTAAGCCATGACGCTAGCAGTTCCAACATTGTTCTTTTGACCCTTTTCAGATTCTCCTTTCGTCTCTACTTTTCTCTTTTTATCCATTTCTTAATTTCCACTATTTTTTTTTGGGTAAATATTTCCACTATTTTTGTCATCATATATTGCCACTCAATAGTTCCCGCTGCAGATTGTCATTTTTCTATGCAGCTGAGTTCAGTCCTTCAGTTGAAAAGGTACTCTTGCAAAACTCCGTCATCTCATTGTTCAGGATTTTGACACTACTTTTATGTATGCCATTGCTTAATTATCTCAATTTGAAGTTAACTACTCAAATTTATTGTATAATTTGTACAATTTTGGGGCTAAGGGATCTATCTAAGCTGGTAAATGGTTAGTGTCAATACGCATGTTTCAATGTCATGGTATTTTACTCCACTCTCGCCTTTTCCCGCTTAGCCTACGGATTTTCACTTTAAATATTCAGTTTAAATAAGTCGAATTTTGTTAGATCAATAAATATATTCTTCCTCTCATTACTAAATCACTTGAATATGGAGCCTATGTTTTCCTGTAGGAAATCGTAGTCTTTCTGTCATAAGCATTGGTGTGAGTTTCGACACCTTGTTCACCATTTCTCCTCATCTAACTAATGTCTGCGTATGTCTTTTTCCTTAATTGCAGTAATTTGTTAAATACAGCTATGGCGATGGATGGTTGATTGAAAGAGATGAAGGTCTGAATACGCATAGGCTTTAGTGCACACCAGACTATTTCATTGGCATACAGAAGACCGCTATTTGTAGCTAACTCTTACTTGCTTGGGATTGAGGCGTAATTGTTGTTTTTGTTGTATATTATAGAGGACCGTTATTGTGGTGAATGTTTAGTTAAGTAGTAACAGAAAATGAGTTTTCATGCATTTGTTTGGTATTGCAAGCCGGTGGCGAATGGGATATGGGCCAAAGAAACTAATAGCGGTTTTGGTGCATATACACCTTGTGCTATTGAAACAGCTGATTGCATATCTTATTTGGTTCTCTTTGTGTTGTGTGCGTATCGGTTATGGCTGGTCAGGATGGACCACAAAATTCGGAGATTCCAGTTGAGGTCGAAATACTACAATTACATATTGATCCTCCTGGGAAGTTGTTGTGCTGCTGAAACCTTGCTCAGATTTTTTATGGGCATCTCAATCTTCAATCTGGATGCAGAAACTGGCCTTGCTCCTTATGAGGTTATATCTACTTCTTAGTGTGGTTTATGGGTTTTCATATTTTTCTCATGCCCTTCTGACATCGCGATTTTCCTTTTGTTCATGCAAAACTCATGCTTGTTTTCCTTCTCTTACCGACTTGTTTATGCATATCTGCAATTGCGTGTACCTATCAGAATTAGAAAAACCTGCAGTTGGCATGTATAACTATGCACAAATTTCCTTTCAAAGAAATTAAATCATCTTCCTCTTTCAATTTCTTAGGTATTTGGTAGGTGACTTATTGCGTGCTATGTAATTTAACTGCCTTAAGTTGGTAAAAAATTTACTTTAAGGTACTAGTCCTAGTGAATTCTTTATAGATAAGAATCACCCCAAAAGACTAATAATGGGAATCAAAACTACATGAACAATCAATCAATTCACTTTGTGCCAATCCCAAACTAGTTGGGTTACAGGATATGAGTCCTCTGTTTATGCTGCTCTAATTGGGCCCTTTCCATTCCAAAGTGGTAAGTCATTTGTTTTTTAAAGCAGGCTAACAGTGCTAGAAAACTAGAGGTTCTCTAATTCCCATATGGTTTGTTCGGTAGTTCACTTTGTTTACCAGACAACTCTGAGAGGTAGCTGAATTTTCCATATTCATTACACACTGGAGAGTGTCAATAAAGTCACCATGATTTACTCAGTTCTGAATTGCTTTTTTAACCGCATACACAGGCATATGTATTGTCAGTCTTAGGAAGTTCATCTCGCAATTTCACTATCCTGTTTTTTTTTATATCCTCTAGGGTAGCCATGTTGGGTTTATGGACGATAGGTAGATAGGTGACATTCCTCTCTTTGTTGCGTATATGTTATTTACATGATTTGTCCAATCTCTTCATTTTGTATCTCAGAAGGCATATCATTTTCTTGAAATGTTCCATCTTTTGCATAACCTTAATGTTTAGAGAGGCATCTGATCTTGCTATCCTCTTAGATTTGCTTGACAACTTTAAGTTGTCTACATCTCCTAATACTATAGCTTGCTCAATGGAAGGCTTAAGTCTTTACTTTGCAAATCTTCTCTTGCTTTGTTCAATCTAGAATCCAGCTGCATCTTTTTGTCTTTTTTTTGGTTGCAAAATTTGGAAAGAAAAGTTCCTTCTGAAATGTAGGTTTTTACGGTCTCTAGTTCCTGTGCCTGAGTAATTCATCTACTAAATGGACAAGAATGAGAGGTAAAAGCCCAAATGAGACATGTGGGGTAGCGTAGCCATATAAGGCCTTTAAGGGGCTGCAGTTACGGGCAGTGTGGTAGTTGGTACTTTACAACTATTCACCACAGGTAGCCAAATCATCTACTTCTTCAGATGATGCTCCATAGTCATTGTCCTGAGGTAAGTTCGTAAACCTGTTCAGCCTCATCTTAAAAAAAAAATGTTTCAGGATTTTAGAACTTGCTAGCTACTGAATCTTCAGAATTTAGATAGATACATGAAAGAACAAAATTGATCTACTTAATCGGTTATTATTTAAGTTTATGACAGAACTAAGATATATTCACCTATAATGAGTTAGCCGTTAACAATGACATTTTTAAAGTAATAGTCTGGAGGACTGATATTTATCTCACACTGGGTTTATATATTACGATTGTAGTCTTGAAATAATAGCTTTCCCTAATTTTCTGCCTGCTGGAAGGCTACTAGGTGTTCTTGCACCCGTGTTGAAGGCGTTGAAATAAATCAAGTGGATTATATCAATCCTAAAATAACAAATATTATAGCAATACAAAATTTGAATTATTTTTTTTAAGGTAAGGTAACAGTATATTCATCAGCACTAAGATGGTACTGGCAGTCAAATAATTACATATTACAGGGAACCCTGTGTCTTACAAGGAATCAAATAATCTAAAAGTGATTCTGCATCTAAAACATAGTTCTCTTTACACGAGAATTAGAAAGACAAAAAACAATTCAACTTAATTCTTTGTATGGTAATGGAACTAGTTCTATTCTCAAAACATCTATTATTCCTTTCTTTCCACACAGTCCACCTTATGCATACTGGAGCCATTCTCCACCATTTCTTCTGTGTGTTCTTTGTTTTAATGTTGTTCCAACATCATAGTAGGTCCTTTGTGATTCTTGGCATCATCCATTGGGTCTCAGCTAAGGCAAGAAACAACTGCCATCGTATACATCAGTTATCCTGCAATGTAGGAAGAGATGGTTATTACTCTCTTCCTTTTCTTGGCACAAAAAACATACTGGAGCTAATAAAAAAAACACATACTGGAGCTCAGCTGAATCCCCCTTTTTTGTAATACTTCATGAGTCAAGCAAGCTTTTCTGACAACAAGCCAAGTGAAACATGTCACCTTGAAGGAGGCTCTTGTTTTCCTGATAAGTTTCCATGGCCAATCTGAAAAGCAAGACGTATGCAGAGCCTCCAAAGTCTTCAGCATTTTAGCCACCCTTCCAATCTCCCAGTCATTTAACGGTCTTCTGAGGGAGAGGTTTCCATCCTTGAGAAGCCCATGCCTCCTCTATTGTATCCTCAGCTGTAGTTGAGGCAAAATTACAGCAGAATCTTTTTTTGATTCTTTTCTTTGCCATTCTCTTTCTATGCAATATCTTGAACGAGGTCATGTTTTCAAGCTTCTTTGCTCACATCTCTATTTTCTGAATATTCAACATACAGTCAACACAATGTGTTCCTTAAGTAACCTCAACACTGCGTTTTCCTTAAGTAACCAAAATGAAACAGATTAATCTCTAAGTTCTCAGTTTTAAGGAAAAACTTCATGTCACTTAAATTGCCTTCTTTGTTTGAAAGTCTATGGAGTTTAAGATGTTAATTAAACTTGTGTATTCTGTAGTGGAAAAACTATTAGAGTAAAGGTTGAAAATTTGCTTGATAGACCAAATGTCACGTCAAAGTTAAAAATTTGAATAATTATATGAATTTGAATCCTTGAAATTCTAAACATATAGAGCAATATTGTTTAATAGAATGATATCAAATGTTTTTAAACGTTCCAAAAGAGAAAGTGTCATATTTCTTATCAGTAATTAAAATTTTATTGATGACAGCACTAAGCTGCTGCCAAGTATATATAGCAAAGTACAGATGTAGTTCTTTTTATAAATTCAAGGAACAGATGGACTCTATCATTATGTATCAAATGGAAGTGTCATTAAATAGGATCTGACGGAGCATATCTTATAGATATGCAAAGGAACTGTAGTTTTATCAGATATGGAGTACAAGCACCAAGGAGGAGCTATAAACAGTAAGAGAAGCAAAAACAGCATATGGATAATGCACTGTATATAATGGACAAAAATGTAGACACTGATTTTGTCATTTGATTATACATGTAACAATATAAGAAATTCAAAACAAAGTTATATATTATACACATTCTTTTGATGATTTTGATACAAATGATATTTGGAACATCCTTTGCTGGTTATTCAAGTATTGGTGCTCATGCCTCTTTGAAATAAATATCAAACAGCCGGATAGTTAATAGTCTGCAATATGATTAGTAGGTCTGACTGTGGAGAAGAAAAAAAAGTTGCATGAGAGCTTGCATGCTCATAGATCTGATCAGCTCTTTACCTTTAGTTATACAGACCTGTGCAATTTTGATAACCTTACTTGTACACCAGTCTAGTGAAAGTTCTTTCTTCATATATCTAGCCAACTGATATATGTACTCTTTTCTTCCAGATGGTTTATTTGAGCATTCAGGCACTTGCTTGGATTTCCATTGTTATTATGAATGTAGTGGAAACTAAAGTCTACATTAGAGAGTTCAGATGGTATGTCAGATTTGGAGTAATCTATGTTTTGGTAGGTGAACTTGTGATCCTCAACTTCATTCTTTCAATGCGGAGTTTCTACTCAAGGTGAGTGTGATGTTATTATTTTTGTCAAATTAGCTCTTTGAGGTAACTTCCCTTCTCAGGGCTTATTAATTTGTTCAAGTGCTCTGGTCAATTTCATGAGTGTTGGACGACAGCTGCAAGGGCTTTCCTATTCAGGAAAAAGAAATTAAATATGAATTTGTCAGAGAAAAAGAAGTGCAGTTGGATATTAATATACTCCCCATTAATTATGAGAATTTGATTAATGGAAGTGGCTGTAAGAAATAAAATACGAAGGAATCCGTACAATTCAAAAGCGAAATGAGTTTGAGCAACAACAACAACAACAACAACAACCCAGTATAATCCCATTAGTGGGGTCTGGGGAGGGTAGTTTGTACGCAGACCTTACCCCTATCCTGAGGTAGAGAGGCTGTTTCCGATAGACCCTCGACTCCCTCCCTCCAAGAACTCCCCACCTTGCTCTTGGGGTGACTCGAACTCACAACCTCTTGGTTGGAAGTGGAGGGTGCTCACCACTAGAGCAACCCACTCTTGTCCACTAGAGCAACCCACTCGAAATGAGTTTGAGCAATCAACAAAATTCTCCACCTATCTTCTCCAAAGAGAAAACAAGGATTGCACACGGAATTTTAAAAAGAAAAAAAGCTACTCTGACATGAATGTATGAAAAATAGCTCCTGTATATGCAAGAGAACTTTGCATCTAGTCAGATAGTTCTCGTCAAGAAAAAAACAGAAAGAGCTGAAACATGTGTCATCCTTAGCATTATATGCTCGGTAAGAAACATTGAGAACTCATATGGTAAGAAAACACTAAAATAAACCTGGTGTATTAGATTTGGAGCCTTAGCAAGTGGAGATCAAAGGTGGGTTTTATTATTCTTTTTGTTGTTTAAGGATGCTGGAAAATAAAAGATCCAGCTACCATATCGCCAAATCAGTAAATAATAACTTGGTGATTTTCAGATTTGCTTTGCTGAATTTCAGAAGCTGATTTTTGTCATGTGAGAAGGGACAGGAGAAAATATGTTATTGATATTGGATGATAAATACAATACAAGAGGTCCCTATTTATAGCTATACACTACAAGGAGATATTACTCATCTNAGTTTAATCCTCTCATGGAACACCGGATTTGATGCAATATGAAGAGCAACTTGGTTATCACACACTAGTTCCATCTTGCTGATTTCTC